GGGGCCACGCTGCAGCACGAAGCCACGGCTGCCGCCCTGCGGAAGAAGCACGCGGACAGCACAGCTGAGCTTGGGGAGCAGATCGACAACCTGCAACGAGTGAAGCAGAAGCTGGAGAAGGAGAAGAGTGAGCTGAAGATGGAGATTGATGACTTGGCCAGTAACATGGAGTCTGTCTCCAAAGCCAAGGTACAGAGTTTCTGTCGGGTTCCTGCCCTACAATACATGACCTGATACATGATTTTGAACTGATTACATTTTGCTATCACACACGTTTGTTTGTTTGGTTGTTTGTTTTATCATGAGAACATGCTAGAATGCAGTGATTATCCTATTTCCTTACACGTATTTGACACACAGGCAAACCTAGAGAAAATGTGTCGCACTCTGGAAGATCAACTAAGTGAGATTAAGACAAAAGAAGAGGAGCATCAGCGCATGATCAATGACCTCAATGCTCAAAGAGCTCGTCTGCAGACAGAATCAGGTAAAGCACTTCCACTCCCGTTCGGAATGGGAGAATCTGTAACCAATGATGACAAGAACAGGAATTGATCTATACTTTGTACGTTGACATACAGTGCCTTAAAGACACATTTGTTTAGTATTGCTTTTTAAATTACAGTCTATTTGTAAAATTTCTCAGGTGAATATTCACGCCAGGTGGAAGAAAAAGATGCTTTGATATCCCAGCTATCCAGAGGCAAACAGGCATTTACTCAACAGATTGAGGAACTAAAGAGACATTTAGAGGAAGAAATAAAGGTAAGGGTGCTTCTTGTAGGGAGCCTGACTTTGGATTCAGATTCCATTTTCTTTCAGAATGTGCCCTACTCTCAAAAAAAATCAGAATATGTTAGACATGTCATTTTAATTTGGGAGCTCTCAAACTAGATGAAGAACTTTGCCACTTTTCTCTCTGATGTGGGAAGAGAAGTAGAGGAGGGCATCATCTCCAACCTGGATATTGAGACAGGGAAAGACAACTTTAGGACTTTATTCGGATTAATGATGCCATATGGAAAAAAGGTTGATATATATATAAAAAACTGTGATTCTTATTCTACTTTTCCATAAACGAAACTGAAATTTTAGACCATATTTAAAAAGATTCAACAATTCCCAGCTTAACAGTTGTCATTTAAATTTTACCCATCATCTCTCCTGAGGTAGCATTCTAACTTCTGATGAATAAAGCTATAAGAAGCTTCTCAGAAGATGGAATCAATACACCTTTTTTCCTTGGGCTGTCTTAAATGTCAAATTCAAAGAGTCTTCAGTAACTTCCCGTAATTTAACATTCTGCTATCTCACAGGCAGTTCGTTGTCCCAATACCACTGTCTCCCTAGGCCAAGAACGCCCTGGCCCACGCCTTGCAGTCTGCTCGCCACGACTGTGACTTGCTCCGGGAACAATATGAGGAGGAGCAGGAAGCCAAGGGGGAGCTGCAGCGTGCCCTGTCCAAGGCCAACAGCGAAGTGGCCCAGTGGAGAACCAAATATGAGACAGATGCCATTCAGCGCACGGAGGAGCTGGAGGAGGCCAAGTATGTGGTGATAAGATATGAAGAAGCCGGGGGGGACTGAAAAATCAAAAGCGAAATTAGAGAAGACACATCAAGATATTCTGAGGAAAA